TTCAATTTGAAGTCAGTTTAAAGTCACATTTTGTTCGAGTAAACAATAAATTGTCCTACAATTCTTAAAAAATCAACAAGGATAATATGGATCAACAACAATCGCAACATTAATTTACATCATCACAACAGTAGGAGGTAGTCGGAGAATTTTCTAAAAACGTGGAGAACACTCAACCTCCAACAAAAGAGGTACGTTGCAGTGATTGTAAAACCACTACCCTACCTGTAACGACCCGTGATATCAAGTAATAGACCCGCACTTTAGTGTATTTAAATTCGGTTTATTTCCGTTCTTTATTAACACACGTCTGTCTTGCTCGCTCACTTATTTAAAACTAAACTCTCGTCTCTCTTGACACTCATCACTCGTGTCCGCTGCTAGCATCGTCGCTCTCCTTGGCGATCTCGCTGCTCTGTGCAGATTCCCACATCCCTCCTTTATTAACAAGTTTCAGCTTCAAAGGTTGATGTAAACTTTCCGCCAACCGCTCCGTTCGATGTTCCTGGTTTTCCCCATCTTCCTGGGTGTCCTGTACCGATGTCCTATTATCTCGAGCGTTACCTAAAAGAGAAATTACAGATGCCGTTGCCTCCCTTGTCGTTATTGGAATCTTCTTGACATGGGATACGTTCCTAATAAGTGTCTTACCCTCTGCCGTAATTTTAATAATATTATTGTTTCTTTCTACTACTTCATATTCAGTGTCGCCAAAGATTGGAGTTAATTTGTTTGTGAAAATTACATTCTTCTAAAGCAGCTTATCCCCTACCTTTATTTCGATTTCTTTAGCCCCTCTCTTTTTGTCTGCCTGTTCTTTCCCTTTTTGTTTTAGTATACAATCTCTATCCCTTTCAGCCGAGTCTGTAAATTGTTCATCAATGTCATCTATACATGGAACTTTGTCTCGAAAGACCCTATTGAATGGCATAAGCTGAGTTGGAGCTACTCCTGTAGTCCCGTGTGGCGTCACGTTGTGCATGAGTACTAACTTCTGAATCTCCTCTTTGTAATTATCTGAATTTGAATACGCGATTTTTAATCGTTACACTAAAGATCTATTCATGTTTTCCACCTCACCATTAGCCTTGGGCCAATAGGGTGGTGTCTTCACCTGCTCTATTCCGGAAATTATGCAATATTCCGCGAATTCTGAGCCGATATATTGTCGACCATTGTCAGTTCCTAAGTATAACCTATTCTACAAAATATCTCTTTCATTACTTCAATGAGGTTAGCTGACGAATTCCATATAGCGATTGTAGTAGTCTATAAAAACCAGGATGAACTCGTTATTGGGTAAAGGACCCAGAAAATCGGACGCTACCCAAATCCATGGGCCAGTTGGAAATGGATTTCTATCCATGGGCGCTGGTCTGGATGGTTGAGACACCAGGAGGCAACCTTTGCAGCGTTTTACGAATTTTTCAGCGTCGCGGTCGATCCGAGGCCACCAAACTTTTGATCTTAACCGCCTTTTCAAGGCCGATTCTCTTGGATGCCCTTCATGAGCCAGCTCAAGAATCCGATTTCGAAGTGATGTTGGAATAACGATACGATTACCACGCAGGAGGAGAGGTCCTATTGTTGACAACTCATACCGGAATGCATAAAGTTGCTTTGCGGACTCCGATTTCCACTCGTCGTTCTCTACACAGGCAATCGCATCAATAATTTCGTCGTCTTTCACCGAGTCCTTAGCAATTTTCGAGATGGTTTCTCTTTTACAAGTGTCGGGTGGTGTTAGCGGACAAAGCCGTGATAACGCATCAGAAATGTTCTTTTTTCCTGCTTTGTACACTACATTAAAGTCGTATGACTGCTGACGTAGGAGCCACCTCTCTATACGGGCTGGTGGTTTCGATGTTGGTTTGAAAATTGATTCCAAAGGCTTGTGCTCGGTCACCAGTTCAAATCGAAGTCCAGCCAGGTAGTAGTAAAATCGCTCTACCGCCCAGACTAGAGCCAGACTTTCTTTCTCCGTTTGCGAATAACGTTTCTCAACATCCGATAATGTTCGGCTTGCAAATGAAATAATTAAGGGATCATTGTTAGCCGAGAACTGCAATAAAACTGCTCCGAGTGCTACAGGACTGACATCTGCTACGAGACGGGTTCGATTTCCAGGGTTGAAATACTGAAGATTTGGCACATATGTCAGTCGATTCTTGAAGTTGAGAAAAGCGTTTTTCTCTGTTTCGCCCCAGCTGAATTTCGTGTCCTTCTTTAAAAGTTTACGTAGAGATTCCTTACAGTCTGCTAGATCAGGAATAAATTTCCCTACGTACGTTACCAGACCGAGAAAACTTCGTATCTCCTCTTTATTGATTGGCTCTCGAAATGCTTTAATAGCATCAACTTTATCGGGATCGGCTTCAATGCCTCTATCGGAAATAATGTGGCCAAGAAATTTAAGTTTTTTGCTTTTCCAAACGCATTTTTGGTCATTTAGCAGTACGTTGTTTTCCTCGAATACCTTGCGGACATCTCTTACGGTTTTGTCATGTTCCTCTTGACTTTCTCCGAAGATAATAACGTCGTAGATGTAGTTCATAACATTCGGAAAATCTACTAACAACTGCTCGAGATGACGTTGAGAAATCTCTGGAGCAGAATTGACTCCGAACATCAATCTTTTATATCGAAAAAGTCACATTGGTGTTATAAAGGTTGTGATTTCCCTGCTGTCTTCATCCAGTTCCAGCTGATGATAAGCGTCTTTCAAGTCTAAGCGCGAAAAGAATCGTGCACCTCTAAGTTTGGTCATAAAAGATTCAAAAGTTGGTAGTGGAGTAGTTTTCTCGACGAATTGCCTTGTTCGCCAGACGCATATCAAAGCAGAGTCGAATATCGCCATCCTCCTTAAAGGCCAGGATAATCCATCGACTCGGGCTCGTAACAAATTCAATAATGTCTCGCTTCAAACCTTCATCAAGCTTAGCTGCAACTTTATCTTCAAGTGCCACTGGGATCCTCCGCACCGGCTGCTGAACAGGCTTGATTTGGGGATCAATGCACAGCTTTATTTCAACACCTTTCCATTTGGGAAATGGTGCGGTCGTTTCAACTCGATTGACACTTAGGCCAAGACGAAGAACATTTAGCTTTATGGCTGTCTCACGCCCCAGTAATGACTGTCGTCCATTTTTAATAACAAAAAATGTAGCAATCACCTCGACATCTGGTATATATATAGCTGATATCGGTGCTTCAAAAACACAAATTACTTCTAGTAATTGATCAGAAGCATATTAACGGAATTGTTTTTAAGAATGTAATCTCACATTAAACACCGCCGGGGTTCTTCTTTTCAGTGTTTCCCAGTCTATATGGCTGATGAGGTTGAATCGCGAACCAGAATCAATAATAAGAGAAACTTCTTGGCCTCCAATTTTGCAGCTGATAAGCTCTTCTTCCTCGTCACTGCATATTTTGAAGCAATTCGAGCTTTCCTTCTTCCTTTTAAAATCAGATCGACCCTCTCCAGCGCAATCGTCATTTGGTCGTCGCTTTAGGTTTCCAATTTTATGTGCTCTTTACTCTGAAGCGCCTGGTAATGAGTATGCAACAGTCTGCAACTGACTCCACCCAAATGAAGTAGTTTTGTTCTCTTGGTTTTTGGTGACTCAATTTGGTCAACCTCCATAGCTATGGTGAACGCTCTTAACCATTTTTCCCATTCATTTCTGAGCACCGATTTTTCAATCGTGTCACATAGAAATGGTTTATGAATATTATCAGTCATCTTATCTGAAAAACGAGATTTTATAATAGGTAAATATTGGCTTGTTATTACTCAGCCTTTTACATGTTTTCTTTTTGTCGACTTGTATTTTATACACGATCGATTTAATATTTGGCTTACGCAAGACGAAACTCTTTCGCACAGCCTTCTCTTTGTACGTACATATGTATATTCGAACTTATTTGCATCTGTATATGTGGCTTGCATAGATTTATCTCCTACACCCAGCCTTCCCCATATACAATGTCTCTCTTAATATTTTGGCTTGTATGACACTCAGCCTCTCTTTGTTAGAATAATTTCAATGTCTTTGGCTCACATACAAACGTGTGTACGTCGCCGCGATTAAAAAATTAAATTAAATTTAACACTTCATCATTTTCTACTTCTCTTTTCTTTTACTCTTTGCTTAGAGATTTCGTCTTGCGTGGAGAACATCGCCTCTGAGAGCGAAGCCTCTCACGCCAACGTAGACACAAGAACCGTTATCTTTCGTTTTGTGCTCTACTTTCGCACTCTTTTTTCGTTTTTGTGTACTTACATTGGAATTATATTTCAATTCACTAGAATTAAGTTTCACTTAGAAATATATATATATATATATATATATTTTGCACAAAATAGTAAATTTACCTCATCGCCAATGTAACGACCCGTGATATCAAGTAATAGACCCGCACTTTAGTGTACTTAAATTCTGGTTTATTTCATTTCTTTATTAACACACGTCTGTCTTGCTCGCTCACTTATTTAAAACTAAACTCTCGTCTCTCTTGACACTCATCACTCGTGTCCGCTGCTAGCATCGTCGCTCTCCTTGGCGATCTCGCTGCTCTGTGCAGATTCCCACACTACCTATTACAAGAAATCTTCAAAAAAGTCGAGAAATTATTAAAAACTTGTAAATATTTTTTAAATAATCAGTTTAAGTATTACAATTTATTCTCTTAATGATTTGAAAACCTTACTTCAATCGTTATTCGCCATCAGGAGAATGGCTACACTTGAAACCCAATATATATTGCGATATAAGAAGAAGTTGCGTAACAGATTGATCAGTCCCTTAAACCTAAAAAAAGGTAAAAAAAAAGATAAAGATAAATTTAAAACCAACAAGGAAGACGTATACGCACAGTCTCTACACACACACACAAACACATTATACTTAAAAAAAATATTGTTTCTTGTTGAACGACGTTGATATATATTTTAATATCGATATATATTTAATTAGTCGTGGAGTAAAAAGTATGTAACAGGAAGAAGGAAGCGTTTCCGACCCTATAAGGTATTTATATTCTTGATCAGGATGAATAGCAAAGACGAATGAGCCATTTCCGTCTGTCCGTATGAAAGCTGAGATCTCAGGAACCATAAGAGATACAAAGTTGAGATTAAGCATGAAGATTCTTGAGGTCTTCCTTAGTGGAAGCTTTCTATATATTCTTACAAAAGTACAATTTACGCCTTTGTCTCTCAAGATATATTTGCTGAGAAACGTTCTTAAGAGTGTGTTCTTAATCTTATAAGCACCTAGGCAAATTTAAATAAAATTTTCAAATGGCTAAGGTCGTATAATACGGTTTGCATATAATCCTTTTTACAGTGATACCAGCTGCACGTCACATCACTTTTGAAGGTGACACTTCGAATACCATCAATACATAATACGCGGCGTTGTATTTGCGTTGGCTGATAATTAATTTTAAGAGTACAGATTTTTAAGCCACTTACCTCCTCTGACTTCATTATATTGCAGCATTGTCCAATACACACCACTGGCTTCGGTGGTTTGGATAAAACAGCCAATGATGCACCTGCCCATGAAACAGAGGGAACTGAATAGGACTCGCAGAACCCGCGGCACGCATTTGTTGTTATGGTAAACTCTACGCAATCAGGAATAGAAATCTTTCGTGTATTTCCAACTTTGTGGCATCCAGGACGAAGCCATGCGTCTCTGCCCTCCGAAATACTTTTGCCTAGCATAAGCCACGAGTAGCAAAAATATATCACAAATTGATATTGAAATTGATAATTGGATCATTTTCCATCAGGCTTTTATACGGACACAGTATCTTGACGATTGCGCAGGAGCACAGAAGACAAATATAACTATCCGGTTATCTAAGTGCAGGAAGAATAATAGCGAATTCTGATATATTCATGAGGGATGAAAAGAAGGGTGAGCAGTTCGATATATTTACATAGATATGTACTTATCGACTTGGAATGCAATGCCGATAAATAATAAGAATACATTTGTACAAATTAGTTATTTTCATTGTAGAGGTTCCCTCGCTGGTGTCTCCGTGCAGAAGTCCGGTTAGTTATTTCCCTCTAAGTATTTAAGTTCACAGTGGAGGTTCCCTCGCCGCTGTCTCGGTACAGAAGTCCGGTTAGTAATCTCTCTAATGGTGAATTACGAAGTTTAGGATGGAAGGGTGACTGCCCTTCTTAACCTGCTGGCCTAGAGACTCAGTCAGTTTGTAAATGATAAAATGTTAACGTCGGTTGCCGGAGTTATATTGAATGAGCTTGTGCTCTTTATTCGGTGAATATCAAAATTGAACTGAACTTAAAGCTAACATAAAAAGGGACTCATAGCGGCCACTCCAATGGGTAGTGCTTGCAGGCTATGCACGGGCTTCCGGCCAGACGCTGTGTCAGCAATTTGGCCGGAGCGAACTTTCGGACGATGGGTCATTGCCGTCGCCCTGTTAACTTAGTTAACTACTCCCCCCTCAGGATTAAGGCCGCCCTCGGCCGACCCTATTTAGGCGATCATATCTGCTATCTGGCCCGTAGTTCTCCTGGCCTAGATGACTCGCCGATAGGTTAAACCGACGTAGATCAACGCGCAGCATATTGCTCCTGCCACCAGTACTATCTGATGTAAATGATAGTCGTTGATATTCTCACCGACTCTATTGATGTGTTCCAGATTACGCTCACTCAAGCGGTGAAGGTACGGAAGACTGAGGATGTTGTGCTCCATAGTAATGTTCAGGGAGGGCGAGCTGGCTACTCCTGGGACCCTCTTCTGGGCCCTGTCATTGTTGACATATCGTGTTTCATTAACTATGGCACTCTCAGTAAAGGTAATGAGATGCGTGCCTCGTACATGGATGTAAATGCCATTATGCACACTCACACGTGCCGGACGATCGTTTACAATTATGATGCGTTCATCTACGTGAGTAATTGGATATAGATCGCTGTGCTGGATGCCACAGTGCGCTATGCCTCCAGCGTGGAGCTCTTGCGCGCACGACCTTCTTAACGCCAGCTGGCAAAATGTGGCTCCAGGTGTTGTGGAGCAATTGTAGACCGTGTGGATTGCTCCATTGCAATCTGCTATTATTTTGTCCTCCAGCCTGAGCATCGTGTCATGATGGGACACGGGAAAAACAGTGATTTTAATACACGACGATTTGATTATTGGAAATTTGATAAAAAAAATACAAAAGGTTAGCGGACTGTAATATTTTAACGGAAGCAACGGACAATAAGTCTTTGATGGGGGTATCTGTGGGCTCTTATATCCATATATATTCTAGGTCTGCATGATCTAGTATAGTAGGGCTCACAATGTTGGCCTTAGCTAGAGCTATCGCTAGTAATAAGTTTTGCAGCTCCATACTAATCATTCTATTTCGGGATAATAACATCTCATAAAGATGCCGCGTGTCAACTTGGGTTCCCTTGGCTGACCTCAGAAGTTGGTTGACGGTGGTAGTAATATTATTAATTTGGTCTTGTACTTTACTATTGATGTTTTTGCCTATTGTTTGCATTTATAAACTGAAATTCATTAAGTTTAATTTCTTCGAAATCCTCTGCATCTGGCGTTCCCGCCACTACCTTTAACGCTGCTCCTAGGAAATCCAAACTCCTAGCTACTCTGTGGTGGATGCTCAACGAGTCGAGCAGGTCACGCAGATGAGCGACATCGACACTCAAAAGTTTCTGCATATGTGACTGGGGAAACATGCTGGTCATGCCATCCGTTTCTTCCACCACGCGCCTATATTCCGAGAGATTCGCCGAGTGTGTAACGAACGCGAATTCTTCCCAAACTAAAATTCTACCATCAATGATGGGAATATATTTGGCCTGCGAGTAGTCCGTAACGTGCCCCGATGTTACGGTAAGCAGAACTAGCAGGGATACGAATGCGAACCTGTAATATTGGATGTATTGTAGTGTTTGTTTAAAACAGGGTAGCCCACCACCAAAGCATAACGAATAAAGCATAATTATAACAAAAACTTATACCAAGTAGATAGGGGTGAGAAAATATGGAAAAGAAAACTTACGCCAAGTGGCTAGGTGTGAAAAAATGTGGAAAATAAAACTTACGCCAAGTGGCTAGGTGTAAACATTAGAAAAAATGAATTATTATTTAATGTTGTCCTTGTTTAATGAGGACCCCTTAATGAGGACCGTGGTCCCCAGGTCCGCTTCAACAGCTTTTTCCTCACACAGTGGTGTGAGTTTATTGCCAAGCCTTCGGTTCGACTTAACCAAAACTTTCTCGCCGACTTCGAATGTTCTGCATTGTCGGGAGGCATTTTCCCTGGCCCTTAGCGTATTTTGTGCCCTAACGATCCTATTCGGGACGTCCGTCTGTGGGTCGTCTGGGTGCTTTTGCACGATTTCGACTGGCAGTTTGTCAACGACAGAGTGAACTAACACCAAAATGGTTGTCAAGCATGGCTGAGATAGTGTGCGAATTTAACGAAGGTTCATTATCGCAATAGACTACTCTAGCCCTAGGGAAAAAGTTCATGATTTGGAGTATGGCCGGTTTAAGATCCTCGATTGTCCTAGTGTGGACATGCTGCACAACTGCAAACTTCGAAAACTTGTCTATGCAAGTGAGAAAGTATTTCTTGTCTGTGGAAAAGATGTCGATATGTAGCAGTTCTCCCACATGAGAGGGGACTCGGAGTCTCGCCTAGCTCATGCTTCTTTGGCTGCCTATCGTACTTGGCTTTCGCACATGTTTTGCAGTTTGCTACAATCTCGGTGGCTAGCTTGGCCATCTTTGGAAAGTAGTACTCGGAGAGTATCTACTTTACATTTTCTTGGGCCCTCTGTGAGCCCTGTTGTGCTCGACGGTGAGGATTTCCCGTCTCCCAGGAACTGCAAAAATATCCGTTACACGGTTTTTGCAATGCCAAAATTTGGTGGCTGGAAATTGCCGAACCAATTCGTCCTGTATCATTGCCAGCGTGTGCAAGTCACAATGAATGGCGTTTATGCCTTTAGGAACGATTATGTCTGCGAGCTCATCAAGTAATTAATCTTTGCAGGAGAAGTTAATCACATGCCGTCTCTTGTTTCCAAAGAGCTGCGTTTTAACGGAAAGCGTGCCTTCTCTAGAGTTATCTGGTTCTGGAAGCAATTCAAAGGCTTGTCCGTGGTTTCAATGGTATAGGTTAGCAACAGATCACTGTGAATTGTGGCCGCGCTAGAAATGGGTCTCCCTTCTTGGGATAGAACTACGACAATGCCGAACGCTGAGGCATCTGTCGTTACATCAAATGCCTTTTGGTAGTCGGGGTATCTGAGGATGACATCCTCGGAAGCCAGAATGTTACGCAGCTTTTGGAAAGCCCGCCGTTGGGGCTCGTTGAACTGCACCTGGATGTTCCTGGATCTGTGTCTACTGACACTTCCAAGTTCCCCTTTCAAAAGATCAGTGACGGGCCGAGCTATGGATGCAAAATCTTTTATGAAGCATTTATAATAGCTGGCCAAGCCAAGGAATGATCTGACCTCGAATATTTTCTTAGGCTCTGGGAATTCCTGAATGGCTTTTATTTTTTCTGGGTCTCTGGTAGCCCCGTTATTGGTGACTATAAACCCTAAAAAGCCAACGCTTTTCTTGAAAAATCGTGACTTTTCTGTTGATACCCTCATATTTGCATCGTGTAGGCTCTTGAGAACCCAATCCACGTGCCGGATGTGGGAGTTTTCGTCCTCTGAAAAGACCATAACATCATCAACATAGACATAGCAAAATTTGCCAATCTGCTCTCGCAGTATGTCGTCAATTGTTCTTTGGAAAATGCTGGCTGCACTTTTTAATCCAAATGGCATTCTGCGAAACTCGTACTTCCCTCCGTTAATGGAAAAGGATGTCTTTTCACGTTCGCATTCTGCCAGCGTGATCTGATGATAACCGGACTTCAAGTCCAGGGTTGTGAAATACTTGGCCTTGCCTAAGTTTCCTAATATCATCGAGATGTTCGGCATGGGGTATCGATCGGGTATTGTTTT